GCCGACATTTTCCTCGGCCTGATAGAAAGACAAGTTGCTGAGAGCATTGGCGAAGCGAAATTGTATAGACGATATGTGGATGGCATTTTAGCCTTCACCAGCGGAGAACATTTTAATCGGCTGCTGCCCATCCTAAATTCGATTCACCCTAATCTGTCTGTATCCCATGAAGTGGAAAAACACCACTGCCTGGCGTTTTTTGATATACTCATTAGGCGATAGGCTGAAGGTACGTTGCAGCGCACTGTTCACGGCAAATCAACTTGGACTGGACAGTACCTTCATTTTTCAAGCTTCGCCCCGATCGCGTACAAACGCGGGTTAGTGAGAACTCTCTTCTACCGGGCTAGGTGCATTTGTAGCCCCGAAACGTTACAAGCCGAAGAAGAATTTCTACGTAAGACCTTAATTGCTAATGGATATCCTGAGAAGTTTATTCAGGTACACAGCAGACCTCCCAGCGTGAAAACACCGGTTTGAATCAGCCAAATGTGTAGACACGCCACTTGTCGCTGTTCTGGACAATCCACTATACAGCCATGCTGGCCAGTGCTCCCGGGCTCTCTCAGACAGTTTTCTGGTGGTTTTCAAGTATGTCTTGACCTATACGAACAAGAGAGAGGAAACACCAAAGGAACTACTTGATCGCGGAACCCTGCCGTTATGTTGCTGGTTCATTATTGGCATTGAAATGATGCTCAACCTTGAGCTTGCTGCATAGTGGGTTTGAGATATTACATCAGAAATCCTTCTATATGTTGATACAGTTATCCCGTCCCCTTGAACGGTGGCGATAGATAAATGGGCTTCTTTTCAACCAATTTATTTACTCTTTGTTTCCCGAGGCTTCATATTTATCCCAACGAACTTCTCCAGGTAGCCATTTCTCTCCAATAGGCTCCGTAAGAAATTTAGCTCGTCGGCGAGTGTGTCCTCGCTACCTTTCTCACTCGCTCGGTTACGCATCGGATGATGTTTTTCTTTAAAAGTCTTGACGTTTCGTTTTGTGTGTATGCGAAACTCAAGTTCTACTCTGACGCTTCTTTGACACTTCGACTATGAAATGCATGGGGATTTATATTTACTGGTTTCGATAGAGTGCGGTAACCCTATATTCCAAGACGTAGATGGCCTAGTGCATTGTCTTCTAAATATGCCTAGTCTCGACAGCAGAGTACAAATTTGAACATCATATCCTATGGTCAGCGCACACTTATAAAGAATCATTAAATGCGGCCTTCTTAGTTTCTCTACTGATTCGTCGAATTTAGGGAATGACCCCATATTTTTGTGTTACGGCTGGGCTCCGGCACATTGTGTTACACATGGATTATATTACATACGATTAAATAAACAATGGTCAGTTCACCTGATAGATGGTCATACTGTGCATTGAGTAGATCTAAGGGTTTCCAACTTACCTTGTATGGAGGATGCTACATTCCAATGACATTCTTGTCGATCAGGTTTTAACAGTCCTTGAGATGCGACGTCGTGGGTAAACAAGAGGTAGCAGACTTGAGTTGAATAGTCTGCTCGAGGACGAATGTAAGGGTTGAATGGTGGACCTGAGACGGAGCAATTCAAGTATCCATGTGTTCTGTTGTGTCGGTTGCCAACTGCCAATGCTTTTTCTTATTGATTAGATTAGCTCATGTTGCTGTAAAGGATTGCACCGAAATCATAGTAGACAGAAGAGCTTTGCAGGAAATGTCCGCCACGCTTGTTGTGTTATGTGTTCTGATGTTTTAGGGGCATAATTGCTAGTTGCGCATTTTGAACTGCTATAGAGCCTAAGTTAACCGGCGTTGCATCCCACACATGACACACCAAAACGGTCAGCGATCGATATTGATCTTCGGATTAACGAATGGACAGAAAAGAACCAGCTCCCACTGAACCCTGCAAAGTGCCACCTGCTGACGGTGCACAACAGCTTCGTCAACACATACCTTTTGAGGCAACACGTCATGCAACACGTGACTAGTGAACGCGACCTAGGTATAATCGTGCAAGAAGGTCTTGGAATTTCGCTCCAATGTTCGAAAGCAGCAAGTGTGGCGAACTTGAACTTGAGACTTTTGAAGTGAGCTCTCGGGACTTTTGAGCGACAGCTAGTACCATTGTTGATTAACTCCTACATTTGTCCTCTGCTGAATATGCAATTCAGGCCTGGTGTCCGTGGTTAAAACGAGACATCCGCCTATTGGAACAGCCTTAAAGAAGAGCCACAAAGGCAACGTGTGGACTATCCGGTATAAGTTACAAAATGCGTCTTCGTGTACTCGGTGTATTATCATTAGAATACCGACGGCTTCGCGGAGATCTTACTAACACATACCGGATACTAACCGAAAGCGAGCATCCATGTACATCACTGTTGACTCTAGCCCCATACAAACAAAGCCGAGGCAACCACCTGAAACTAATGACGCAACACTCTCGTTTGAATTGTAGAAGGTATTTTTTCTCACTTAGAATCTGTTCTCACTGGAATGAATTACCAAACTAGGTGGTGAACGCACCAGACATGACGACATTCGAAAGACTCTTAGATTTTCATCTTAGTGATAAACGATACACATCACTTTGTTAAAGTGCAATGCTTTAACCACTGATACTTTACGTTCCACGTTGGAACATTTTGCTTTTAATTTTCTTTTGCATATCCGTCCTGTGGGTCTTGTAATGTTATGCTTTTTATCCCATCATACACCATTGAACCATTTACCATGCGTTGATATCACCACTAACATATACTCTAGGTTTGGCGATTGTTTGCACAATGCCAATGTTGTGCACTAAAACCATAAGCCGCCCTGACTCTCAGTTTTCGATGGCACATAAAGGGGGAGGCAGTGAACCCCAAACTCTAGCAGTCAGTTATCTTTGACGAATGAAATTAGCGTTTCAGCTAGAAGTCAAATCGACGGGGCTGAGGTCAAGGCTCTCTAGCCAATCGAGTACTTGCAGAAAATCCATGTAGCTAGCATCAACCCTCGCAAACTTCGGTTGACTCAATCAGACTGTCCATTACTGTAAACATATTCATGCTGCGCGACCGCCTTTCGTTAGTCCCCATCATTCGGGAAATACTAGGTAGCACTTTTCCGAGAATGCAATATACGGGTTAGTAAAGCTGGATTTAGCGACATTACCCACACTGGAAGACAATTCTAGTAGGCGACATCGGTCAACGGTTTCCACGCAAGTGTAACTGTAAACAACCCTACTCCAGTCGCGATTGCAGAAATCTCACCGGTTTGTCAAGACCTAGTTTGTGAAACCTTAGTAGTTGCCTGCTTGCGGTTGAAAAATGAGTTCGCAAAATAAGCAAGCCACGTCGCAACCTGCACTTTCTGGTGTCATTAGAAAATGTAACCGCTGGGCCCATTAATCGGCCGTCGCCTTTTTCGTCGAACACCATCTATTACATTATCTGCTGTAGAAATATCAGTTTTGAACGAATAAGCTGATGGATATTTTGTTCAATCAACTTTCAAAATCACTGCAACCAATCGACCATATCCATTTTTCGAATATAAACCCTGAAATATCGCGCACCAGCCCCCATCTACTGTATTTGGACACAACATATCACATCAGCGGAAAAAATGGTGAGAAGTTTTCAGCAAAAAACCCTTTCCGTTTTTGATTTGATTCCAATCCCGCGGTTTTATTTCAATGGTAACTCGAGTTATGACAGAACACTCTTAACATTTTAATAGTAATCCTCTGATACATTTGCTATTGATAATGCAAAATCTTGAAAATGCACCCATTTGGTACTTAAAGCTTATACTGAATGACTCACTGTACATAAGCTATTTTCTTGTGTAAACTGGCTTTTAGTGACCCACTGCATAACTACTCTGTGGTTAGTCGCTTCAGCATCCACAATTAGCTTTAACGGAAGGTACCTATTTCTGTCATTTAAAACACACCATTCTTAATTGACGGAAAAGTTTCACGTGTCTACCCCACAGTTTCGATCTGAGTACCCATCAGCTTGAGCTATATCACTCAAGAACCAATTCGTGTGTTTTTAAAATGCTCACATGAGAAACACCTCTACAATGTCCAACAAACTTCGGAAAGGCATTCGATTAAGTTTAGGCTATTGTATATTTTTGTTCGGAAGGTGCGTAACAGTTTATCTTCAGCTCACTATGGTTCGTTTTTACTGCAGTACCACTCCGCATTGATTCTACATATTCAGAGCTACGTACGGTGATGATTGCCCGTTTCGACCATCTGACCATTTCTCGACTTCCATGCGAAATCGGGATTTGTCCAGTTTTCGTCTCGTCAAATAAATCTACCGTCACTTATCTGTCAATCGCTACTTGAGTCCGTCAGTTGAGAGGAAAACCCAACTGGGGGCTGACAGCCAACGTCACCAAGCCCGTAGATGCGTAGAACGATTGGCTTCTAGCCGTTTTTATGTGAACCTTGGGAAGCTTCTCACAATCGCAACAGACAGAATTGAGATGCTCCAAATTTTTGTTTCATATGGGAAAGCGTACACTTTGTTAACATATTGTGTGGTGTTGTGGGTTAAGGATTAAAAAAGCAAACAGAAGCTATTGAGTTTATAGGGTTGCAAATGGAATTTGTCAGAGTACAGCTTTAAAATCTACGCCGAAATCAATGGTAGGTGAATTCAAGGGCTTTTAAAGTATCCAGCTAAGTAATTATTCCCTTGAACCTCTGTAGTATATCCCTGAAGTACTGGATTTCTGGGTTTGCGTGCGATGCGCTTTCCTACTGCAAGGCCGTGATGTTAAAATCACTATCCATGGTCGAGAACAACATCCTTAAAAAAAGAGCAAGCAACAGTTTGGGTAATATGGATTACTAATTGTTATCAGCCATGGACACATTTCTCTAATTATTTAAATTCTTTTCTTCAAAAATACCAGCGATTTGCTGAATCCAGTTGCATCTAGTGGAATAACCTACAAAACGACATTCGTTTAAATTTTATTCCCTTTTTGCAGCAGTGGGTCGGAATGCCAGCGTGGTATGTGGCGGCATGCAGAGCGAATATTAAATCCGGAGCGATTCTTGCGTCGTTGAGTGACCAGGAGATACAAAGAGAACTTGGAATCAGTAACCCCTTGCATCGTTTGAAGTTGCGTCTAGCCGTACAGGAAATGCTCGCCTTCACCGCTTCACTAGCGAATCCATCCTACGTCAGTGGGGCTACTTCGAAATCACAAAGCACGCCATCCTGCTCTCGAATTCACCTAGCGACCCCGCTGATAAAAGTTAGTTGCTCCTGAAACAAGTAATTCTTTTTTTAATTTCCAGATGGGAACGTCAGAAGATTTGATTCGTTAGATGGTTTCGGCACCTCGTGCATTCTTATCCATCAAAAACACGTAAACTTGATAGATGAACCAAAGCAGTGTCATGACATATGGATGGACAGGCGCATGCGCTACCAATATAGGCTTAGGATTGTATGTTTAGCCAAATATCCAGTGTTTTTAGAGTACAATAGCCATGATCTAGCGCGTAGTTGAAGCTTTCGCAAGTGTTGGCACTTATGCGCCTCACAGTTGCGTCGTTACTTTTTATATGTTCAGGTGTGAGATCTACTAAATTGTTATCTCACTCGTTAGTCAACTTCTATGTAGCGGAACAGCAAAATCTTCGCATGAAATCCGAATTGAAAATTCATTGTGAGCACAAAAAGACTCCAACAATCAAAGCTTATAAACGACCTGGGATCGTGGCGGATGCTTTCATCTACACTAAACTCTGGTCTCTATGACAATGCAATCTAGCTGTTCAAATTGCAGTAGTCGTTTTAAGCAAGTGCCGATAGTCTGCAAATAACTAAGAACCTGTTCACATTTATCTTTAACAACTTTACATGGTTAGCTTTCTGTAGTGCCTAGATGCGTACATTCCAATTGAAAACGAGGCATTACTTTTCACTAGCTTGCTATTGGAGAACTGGTCGGTTGTTGGTGGTTATATACATAATATTTTTATTAGAGGTGTACATGTGTGTGACTTCTAATCTCTACTAATAACAAATTATATATTTCGCGATTGTCGCCAAGTCATAAAAGATGATATAAAATTCTCATTTCACATTCTTAATTCCCTGTAAACGGTCACCGGCTTTCATTTTCTCAACCAGATTCACAAGACAAATAATTCTTACCTGACCTACTCAGTAGTTTAAACGCATTGCGCTTTTAAGTAGGTATTCGTTCGCACTCGAGTTTCATGCTCTATGAAGTTTAACTTTCTGCGGAAAAGCATTACCCCTTCACTGGTCATTAATAGCCTCGAATGCACGACGACATCTTCGATTATGTATTCGAAACGGTAGAAGGGTTGACGTAGACTTGTTACCGCCAGATCCTAAAATCCCCATCCGTGGTTACTTTCTTTTACTCATTTTTCGGTTAAAACTAGTCCAAGTAAAACGAAATGCCCTGAGCTCATAGACTAGCGGCATCTACATATGCAGTAAACCGCAGAGCCCTGTGGCCGACGCTTGTCACAGGATTTGGGCACCCATTGTTCGTTTTCCCGGAACGCCAGCGTGACCTTTAGAATAGCAAGCCTGCCTTGTAATCCTGAGGTGTCTCGTATGGGAGCCTCTGTAGGGGACCGGACGATCATCGTAGTATTCTTAGCCCACACGCGACTGGCGGTGGTTACATTGCAGTGAAGCATTACGCCGTACCGACGTGCTGCTGATGCCTTTTCATGAAGCCTGGTGCTGGCAGTGAGTGGCACCCGAGATGTGTCTACTTCAGTTGCGATGCAGGCTACCCAATCGACTAATGTTTGGTCCGATTCCAACCGTAGATCACACTGAAAATGTGTGTCTTAATGTCTCCACACTGCGTATTCCAAATATTGCCGCACTAGCGAGTCTAGTAGACCTCAGTTAGAGCTGCATGGTACCTGAAATCTCGCTCATCTGTGGAGTTGTAAATGGAATTGGATCAGTTAGTTTTGGTGTGGGCAGCCTTTCACTCCCCATAGTGATACTGTAGGGACTAGAGTTATGGTCGCCCAGGTTTTAAGTCGCTGAGGGATTGTTAGAATTCGTGGCACGATATATATACATTATCTCATGTATATAATCGGATCCTTTAAGTGGTGTTACCATGTGTTGGCTAACAATCTTTCAACCACATTAAACGGATGGTTAAACTTACTCCACCAGCCCCCGTTCGGTTGAGTCCTCTGAGTTGCCTTCAGGGTCACTAACTAACTGCACATCACCCACCGCATTCGCGCCTGGGTGAGGACCACGCGATAGGCTATACAAGTATGTATTAGGTTATAATGTGTCTGATGAACAGCTCAGCTTTTGCTTCGAGTCGATAACCTATTCACCTAAGAATTGTGACATTATGTCATCACTTACCACAGATTCTGTTATGTCGTTCGCTTTTGAATTCGTCACCTTTATCTATGCCGGTGTTTTAATTACCTTCAACAGAAATCAAGCTAACTTTAATAGGTCCTCCACAATATAACTTTTAAACAATCGTTGTGAGATCAACGAATTTATAACGTTACTTATTTCTTAACATTGCGACAACCGAAGCGTGGGGAGATTTGCTGCAGAAATGCCGAAACTTTGAAAAAAAGGTTCATGTTTATCTGCAGAAACAACTATGTTTCTTGTTGCACATTGAACAGCAAGAAGAAAGCCAGGGTGAGAATTCACGTTTAAGGAAACCAACAGTGCTCGTACTTGTTCTGGACTCCTAGCAACGCTAGCGCTCATCGTGGCTAAACTTTCGACAAAGAGGCGCGGCATGTTAAGCATGCCGATTACAAGTTCTCGAATTTTCTGTTCAGGTGGATAACACAACCTGTGATTTTGCAAACTAGACAATGAATAGCAAAAGCCCAGAGGATGCCAGGTACTTGACTGATAGCGATCTTCTCGAGTACTGGAAAACACAGGGATGAAAGAAGTTTGACAATAGTGAAACTACTTAGCTGGGTTTTATTGTCTTGGGATTTCAATGGAAACAATGATTCGTCATTGGTACATATTAGGCGGCGGCACCGGATGAACGCCGCGATACAGTTTTGTGATATAAGTGAGGCCAACAGTAGTTTACGCGGAAACCTCACTGACTCAGTTCGTAATCCACGATACCGGTTGCTGCGCGACCCAGCGTGGCTGACGGAGTCTGTTCCTCACCGTAGCTTGCGTCGCTATGGCACAGTCATGAGCATGACTGGTCTGTCTCTGATACACACCATTCTAAAGTCTCGTTCCTGTATTTGTCCCCGGCTGGGTTGGTGGTGTCCCAAACAGAGAGCAGAGGCAGGGTAGCGTCAAAACAGCAGCAAGTTTAGAGCTTGATGTATCGCACCGGGAGGAAAGGCCGATATTTCGTGAAACAAATTATCGTCAATTACAATATCCAGGCTTTGGTTGACCCGCCGTAAATTTAACCCAAGCACAGTGCTTGGTCGTACTGCGTTGACGCGTGCTCAGGAAGCGTCACATGGTGTATTATAAATGTGTTCGTGTCTCGTCGAGACGCAGTTTGTATACCGTTAGTGTGAAGGAGGAAACTATGTATGTGCGGATGGTATTCCACGGTTGGCACACGGGAAGTGGTAAGATATTCCGGCGGCATAACGATCAGGCTATATTGTGATGCCTGCGTTAGCTGGTGACCGCTTACATTAGTATTGTGATTCAGTTACCGAGGTTTACATCAAGCGTATTTTGGAATCTTCAGGGTCAAATATCCCATTATTAACTCGCCACACAGGCATCGATATTGTCCACTGTAGACTCCAAGGTTTTCCAGCCTCAATAGTTAAAGGAGATGAAACTGGTCCTTTGTTTTCTTGGTCGCTATTGTGGAATTTCGAATGCCGTAAAGCGGTGTTTTTGCCAGAGCTGCCAGCCGCAGGTGGTATAGAACTTCTAACCGTAGATGGGTGGGTCAAATCGCCTGAATGCTGTTCGCAATTGACCAAGGTATTTATTGGTTTTCGGTTGCTTTCCTGACCAGAAGCGAACAGCCAAGGCCGTCTTGTACCATCACTTCTAGTGTATATTCAGTAGAAACACGCCACAGAACATAATCCCCCAGCCTGTAAGCGCAAGCGGATTGACGGTGCATGCTCATTGTCATACAATTGGTAGCGTTGAAACGAAACATTTTCTGAGTCGCATACACTATACCCTATCGAGATCAACCTGCAGTGCCTCATTGTTCATTGTGGTCACCAGTTGCTTTGACGGCCCGCTGTATCTTGAGATCATCAGTGAAGGGTAGGTAACTATAGGGGATGATCAATATCTTGAGATCGTTTATTTAAAACAAAAATATGTAAGGACCCGCACTGAACTTCTATAGCGTCAGAGATGGCGCTGCAAGCTCTCAAATTCAGATGTGGTCCAAGTGAGGACCGGATCGTCAGTTTCACAGCTCTGAATCTTATGATGGAAAGTGTATTGGTTCAGATGGTTGAGCGCCTTTAAACAGTCCAGGTAAACTGTGACAGCTCCAACAAAACTGTTAAATATTTCAGGCCAACTGCATAAAGGAAGGTTTTGAAGTAATAATGTACCAGAAATCGGAGTATTTGTATATGCGAAAAATATATATCTTTTCAAGTTTTTCCTCATTCCAGTTTACTGCTGTGTTTGACCCTTTAACAGTTTACGAAACGCAGAGAGTAAAAAGAGCTTTCAACACCAATAATCACAGAAATGTGCATACTATTTCATCTTATTTTCTCCTGCGCCCTATTAAACATGACATCAGGGGTAACACCATGAATAAGTGTTCCTACCGGGGACGCATTCTATTTGCCGGGTTCAGAAAGACTAAACACAACAACAAATCAAATGATAGTTGCGCATACCTATAAGTGGTGTATGGAATCACATTCCCGGCAAGTTAAGCCAAAATGTACTTTTTGAACCAGAACAGGTGTATAGTTACTGTTGATACTATCATAGATATGCTGAATAATAATTTTAATCAATATACTGAACGTGAATTAATACTAAAATGTTTTGCAGTTATACCTAGCGTAACCGTTCGCTCCGTGTTTGTGACTTTGGGTTTGTTAACCGAACGTGGCGGAGGAAGACATTTGATGTTATGCTTCGATGAGGTGCAAGAAAACTAACTCGAAATTACCACCTACAAATGGAAAATAAACTTTTGTTACTTAGTTACGACCTTGTGAGAAAAATTAAGGCTGATATCAGAATACCGAATGGCATTAAAACAGGCAACGGAATCGA